ATGTATAACGCATACCTGTAGGGATTTCTGCGTGCTGATGCAAGTACTTCCCAGACAGTCAGCCTTCCCCATGAGGGGGAGTAAACTTTCCAAATATGCTTATAAAGAAAAGAGGCTTGAGGAGAGTGTGGTCAGTCTTTAGCTGTAGGAAATGAGAGCTAGGAATTCATGCCTGAAAACTCAAGAAAGCAACACAAATCTCTCATTTACCAGCTCCCACTTGGGCACCTATGTCATCTTTGCTTTAAGCATTGTGTCCCTCATGGGTGGAGGAGTCATCTTTAGTTCAAAGCACAAGCTGATGCACTTGAATCTTGTGTTAATAAATTATCTTTCCTGCCATTTATTGCATGCTCTCAGCTGTCTTCAGAAAACATATGCTTCTTAGAATTTGAATTTATTTTATTGACATATTTTAATTAAAATGTTACATCTGAATCACATCAGGGGCGTACATTTTTCCTGTGAAATTTTCAAAGTCTTGGGAGGCAGAAATTGTCTTTTGCTGGTGTTCTTTGCCTCATGTTAGTGGAGAAACCCCAACTGCGGAGTACAAGGTGCTGCTTTCTGCAGAATCTGCTGCATGAATTTGAAGTCACAGACTGTCGTTTGTGCTGTTCCTCCCTTTTCCATTTAACTGCCATTTTGCAGGTGTCACTTAGCAAGCTGTGTACCTTGAAAATCTGCCATGTACTTGGTTGTCGTTGGTGAGAACTGTGATTTTGAATACGAAAGATCCAGTCATCCACAGTTTTGTGGCTTTCCTAGTCTAGGCAGCGTGACATTTCCTCTGATGAGAAAAGTGTTAAACTGCCAAGAGTTCAGGATGCTGTCTGTGGAAAGTTTGGGCCTAGGCAATGGGATGCTTTGCTGTTCTTTAGGGTGGGAGGCCACTGAAAACTGTATGCGAGTTCAGCATTGATAGATGCTGAGTTAGATGCAAGCCCTGTTATGGTCAAGCAGAAATGCATCCCTGAGAGACCAAATCCCCCCATGCCAGCAGGGGTAGATTTTGCAGGCTGTTGTGTTTGTGTCCTTGCACGGCTGCATACCCACTGATGGAAGTCCTCTTTTCTCTTATGCAGTCAGCCACGTGTGCTGGCAGGGCTCCTGGCTGTCCCAGGGCAGCTGCACAGGTGGCTTGGCTCCCTACTACCTTGTCCTTGGCCAACTTCTGCCTGGATCTGAGGGCTGCCTCTTCCTATATGCCATTCCTGCCTGTGATACAGAGCTTTTCATCTTGCTGCAAGCAATCCCTCACAGAAAAACATCAGCCTTTGTTCGAGCCAGGCAGTGGCATGGGGGTCCCACTGCTGCCACTGCTTCTCCTACTCCTCTTCTGCCCTTCCTTTAGCAGATAGCTTTTTGCACCCTTCCCAGTCTCTTCTTGTCAGGGCAGAGGGAGAACTTGTGATCTATGTACACCTACTGCAGCTTCCTGCCATTGGAAGTATCAGTCCTTGACTCACAGGAGGGTCATGGTGGAAGCCATAGGGATCTGGGGCTCCCTGTGGAGGACCTACGGATTATAGCCATAAAGAAAGGAGGTTTGGTATCAATTGCCCAGTGTCCTGGTATTATTTAGATGCTTAACTTCCATAGATCTCCACAGAGCCTCCCCTACCTGCTTTCTCACAGCCTCCTAATGCAATCTGAAAATAAAACTTCCTTAAGAGGGGTAGCCTTGAGTTGAGCATAGCAAAAAACAGCTCTTGTTACTTCATTAACAGTGTGTGAATTTTAACTGTCTGGTTTGCTTGTCATAATTTATAATGAATTTTGCATTTTCCCAATTGAGACAGTGAGAAAAAGATGTTTCATATTCCCTTAACTGATTGTCCTGCTGCCATGTTCAGAGGATTGACATTTTGGGGCAGCTTTTAGGCTTAACAAAAAAAAAAAAAATTATTTAAAAACTAATGGGGAAAAATAAAAAGCCAAACTGAGGGCCAGTTCCGTCCTCTATGAAAGATATATAAACAGTGGGTACCTCATTAATGGTACTTCTCTTGGCAGCATGGGAAGAAAGTGGCAGTTTTGGCCTAGGTGCAAGGCTGTATCCTCCAAGGGAAGCCTGGGAGGGAGAGGTCCTTCCGCTGAGTGGGTGGGAAGTGACAGAGATGGATTTTTCTCTGCTGGTTTCTGTTCCCAAAACCAAAAACTCTGGAGAAAGAGGGTCGGTGATACAGTCCATCTCAAGTGCATGAGTGTTGAAATATAATTCTCATCCTTTCTGCAAGCTGTGTCCCAAGAGGGTGAACTCAGGGAGGTTTGAATTTGAAGTATTCAGTGTTTCTGCTTCTTTGTGTGAATTTTTCTAGTGTCATGGAAAAATGGGCCCTAGGGTCCATGGTCTAAATTATCTTACTGTGACCCTAACTCAAACAAAAGTCATTAGTGCTGCCATTTTGTCCTGGCCTCTTGCCAGCACTAATCCTAAAGGCATTATTATCTACTCAAAAAGCATATCATAAAATTGGAAAATAAGCAGATGACAGAGGGAAAGATAAAGGAGACAGAAAGGGCAAAGCCCTAAAGCAGCAGCTGTCCAGTTGTGGCCTTTGGAGGAGTAACAGGTCAAAGAGTGTTGGCCATCTTCATCTCCAGCTGTGAAATCACACAGAAAAGAGAAAAACATGTTCTGGGTATGTCTTTCTCAGGTCAGAAATTGCCATTTCTGTGTGGGTGTTATGCTGTGGAAGTGGGGAAGGTAGAACAACCTGTGCATTGTGAGTGAGCAGGAAAGTGTGGAAGGCAATTTCTCTGAATCCTCTAGGAGTCTCTTGTTAAAGAAGAAGCTTCCTTAAGTACCTCTTAATCAGACAACACTGAAAATAAGAGTGGCAGAAAGGTTCTGAGAAAGCATCTTAGAAGTATTTGAGGAGGTAGTAGTTGCTCAGGATGGGGCTAGAAATGATGTTCTCTGTCTGTAATGTCCCATTGTGACAGCTGCCTTAGTCCATTAGCAGATATTATTAGTTTGCTTGGCCACCATTTTCAGTATCTGAAAGCAGTTTGGATTCAGACATAAGGGCAGTAGAATCAGTGTAATGATAATACACAAATTTGAGTGGTTTTCTCACTTCTGTGATGTTAATGTGTTACCAACACATTAACAGCAACATTTTTCTGGTCTCTATAAACCAGCTGAGATACTTGATTTAATTGAAAATACAGGACAAGCTCTACTTGCAGGCCTATAGCCTGGGTGAGGCAGACAGGAATGGCAATTGCAAGCATTTACTTGAAGGAATAACTTGAAACTGTCTCTGAATTGGTGAGTAACTCCCAACAGATACTCCAGTTAAAAATGTTTATGAATACATAGTGTTTCAGTTATAGTATATGCATAAGCCATTTTTATTAGATAATGCCGAACACTTAATGAATTGGTGGTAGTCTGCAGTTTGGAAGCTCTTAATGCACCTTCTGTTCCTGACTCAGGCCTAGGATTCAATAAATGCTTCTTTTATGTCTAACCCAGTATTCTGAGCTGGGATGATTTTACAGCCCAGGATATTTGCTCTTCTGAGGTTATAGACCACCCATGGCTTGTTTTTATTTCTCATTTAAAAGCTGGAGAAGTAACTAATTAAAGAAATATTTCTGCCATGTTAACTACGTGACAGCATTGTTCCTGAGGTGGATGAATGGGTTTTATCCTATCCACAGCCCTTTTCACACCGAAAATGGGCAACAGGAGAAGGGAACTGGAGACCGATCTGCCTGTAAAGTTATCTCAGTGAAAGAATGGGCTATGCAGATTAATTAGATCAGCAAGATGCTACTCCCTATTAGAAAGGGTAGGTCCATTTTATTTAACATTTTCAGCCCTCTGAAATGTGAAATGGCCTGTCTCAGAACAACTGTTTGAGCTCCAACAGTTAACTACAAAAGCTACGTGGGAGGTAGTTGTGCTCATAAAGTTTATCATCTCATCCTTGACATCCGTGCCAAACTCTTCCCCGTGTGTATTCCTTACGTCAGCTTTTTAATTAGGCTTATACACCAGCTAAGATAAGAGTTGTGAGAAGAGAGCAGTTCAGTCATGTCACTAAGAGAGATGCTGAAAAAGTAACATATTCAGCAGTGCACGTCCCACTGGTCTTTTTTCAGGCACAAGGAGGCAAGATTAATGACAGGCAGGCTTTTGTGTCTCTTCGGACTACACCAGGATGGGAGAGAGTTTGGGGGAGATGTTTTTGGAGGAGAAAAAAAAAAGACCAAAAAAACCCCTGTCAGAGAATAATTTGTTCGAATGAATAGGTCTA